CTAAAAATATGAACGTATTACGTTTAGTCAGCTTTTGGGCTCTTAATTAATTAAAATTAATAAATTTAACAAAATATTTTCTTACAATCTGTTTTTGTGTTAGCTTTTTGAGTTATTACTAAATCTGTTTTACAGTTTTCTCCATTTCTGCTCATAACCTCAGTAAAATTGTGTTTTTACGACAGCTGGAGTAATAAAACTCTAAATCAGGTGTAATACTTGCTCAGAACAAAAATAATTTTATTATCGCACCTTCTGGTTGTGTTTGTATTTGCAATGGTGGAGATTCCGGTCATCGTCGGCAAAATTATTATTACTATTACTCATTACGCGCGAAATTTTCACGCCTCACGTGCGCGTTATTTCAATTTGCAATTATAATTATAATCAGATTACCAATAAAAAAACTAGAAAAGAATTAGAATTAAAGAAAAGCATTAGTTTCATACCTCATAAACTTGGATAATAATACTCTATATCGTTAATGTAATTAGAATTAGTGTAAATTAAATAAATTTTTATTAAATCGAACAATTGAACTTTAAAAATTGTAGAAATTTATTTAAATATCCAACGGTACTAAAAATTAAAGAATAATAAGTAATTACTCATAGTGGATAATATTGCTAATGATAATGCCTAATAAGACTAACAATAAATTACAACTTCACATCGATGTGCGCATGATGAGCATGAGCACCGGTCATGAGCATGACTAGTGTAATAAAAACGCATTAGCGGAATTGCTCCGTCGATGGCATGCGAAGTGCGCGCTGCGTACACGGTGGAAAATAGCAACAAAAGGCAAATGCAACAATACCTTGAGTATTTTACGAGTATGTGTGTTGTAGATGTGGATGGCTACGGATGCATGTTGCGATTTTGCGTTTAACGCAAGCTGGCGTGCTCACAAAGGAGACAATGCGAGTGCAAACAATTTGCATGCCTGCGCACAAGATGGACGCCACACGGGAACCGATTAGATCTGGATGAGTGAGAAGGATAAAGGATAAAGAACAAAAAAATGCGTACAGTACTGTTACAGTTATTATGCAGTAACTAAAACGTTAAATCTTGAATTAAAAAAAATATTTTTCTTCATAAATTAAAAAATTTAATTGAATTGAATAATAAACAAATCAAAATCACATTCCAGACATAAACGTACATTCCTCATCTCCAAAACTAAATGAAAACAAACACTGTGCATTTTGAGTTTAGTGAACTAAGAAAAAAAGAAAAATTGAACGCCCACTGCATATTATTAGAATATCTCATCTTCAAACGGCCTCGGGTTAAGCATAACAAGAACAAGACATTATTAATAAAGTAAACTTCCTGTCACTAATAAACTTTCAAGTTTTTTTCTTCTAATTTTCAGCTGAAAACGCGACTAAATTAACTTTTAGTTCAACTCTAGGAGATTATTAAGTAATTTTATAAATTTGATTTAATAGGAAATGATCTCGGTAATAATTATACACCACTTAAACTAGTATTAACTAGTCTTAAGATTGAAACCAATTAGATCTACGGTGAATGCGCATTTGTGCATCAATGACGCTTTGAATGAACTAGAATAATAGAAAGAGTTGCGCGCTGAATTGGTTGAGTAACGAGCACTGATTGCGATTATGTAAAGTCGGTTTAGTTCAAGGATTCGTGACGAATCGGATAATAATAGGAAAACTCATTATTTACTAACTTGATGATCGCCTCATCAAGTTTTCTATTAATATTTATGCGTTTTATGATTCATATTTTTTAAAAATGAATAGAAATCAAAGAAAAATAAATGTTATATTAATAATTATAATTTTGGTGGGTTTTCTTTATGTATAATGTAAAATATACAAAATTATCCATACAAATGCAACAGTTAGACGTCAAAAAGATCATTTTCTTTCCCTCGCATGAAAACACAATTCTACACTATTCAACTTCTTTATTTGCTTTCGTTATCCTGCATTTGGCGTTGTTGCCTGCGTCTGAACGTCTCTGTGCGCATGTAAAGAGGTGAATATTGTGCGCACCGAAATGAAATGAAAGACTGAACAAGTTCATTGACTGTGACGCGAGCGTGTGTTGGCTCAGATGCATTAATGTACAATAATGTACTATACTTGTATTCACGTGTGTGGTGTGCGTATTAATTTACTTGAAGTACACGTGCATGTTGCTGTGCTTTACAATAAAGTACCATCAGTGGTCGCTGGGTAGTTGGTGAGTTCTTGAACTGAATGTACGCACATGATTGCATCATTGCTTTATGCTAAACGCGCTAAATTCAGCCAAGCAAAGAACAAACATGCAAAATACTCAACTGGCGAATAACTGGTTGCTACATCAAGGAAATGAGATGAAAAAATAATAGAATTTTAGTTTATTTTGTTGGTTTTGTTTGTTTTGTGTCTAGAGAATGGAAAAATAAATTCTAGGGTTGGTATTAAGGGAGGGTTTTATGTCTCATGCACGTTGTGTTCATATAACAATGTGTTTTCTATTTTATTTCTGCATTTATCTCGGGAAAATCAATAAAATGCAGATATAATAAAAATTGTATGAATTTTAATTTTACTTTGAAAATTATTATTTTAAGCATTTTGCGAAAATATTTTCCGTTTTAATATGTATTAGCCGGCATGGAGACTGAGAATTAACCCTAATTTGCATGCATGCGAAAAATTAATATGCATGAGCATGTCTGTTTGCATTAAATTTTTCATTCTGTGTTTGTTGAGTCGTTTTTTTGCGTTTTTTGTTTGCATTTATCGCGCTTTTTAAAGCCATTTTTGCCCTCAGTCTAAACACAGTTTATTTTCATTCATTGTTATCTTGTTCAATTAAATTTTTCTATTTTTCATTTGCATATGCGCTTATATTAATCGTTTTTAGTACTTTTTTGATCATTTTTTCCTATCATATGCCACACGCGTTTGCAACACGTGCTGATTACATTCGAAATTTTTAAATTAAATTAAACTAATTAATTACTCTGCATTTTTATGGCTGCAAAAATGTCAAGAAGCAGTTAAACTCAAATAAAAAATAATTCTATTTTCTTCTATCAACATTAACTGTTTTTCTGGTACTTGAATATTTTTTATCGTTCGTTTCTCCGTTGTCACACTATTGTTGACTGTAATGATTTTAATGATTTATTGTTTTCGTCGCGTTCCCAACGAGCCGCGTCTCGTTATGTTGCATTTCTTCTCGTGCGGTATTTTTTGTCGATTTTACTGCAAAACTCAGCGCATACATTCTGCACATTTGTGTCGAGCTTAATATAAAAGTGTGCTCACTTACCGAGTATTATTTAGCTTTCATTTTTTGCGTTGTTATCACGAATTTAAAGAGCAAGCTGCTAAAAATGGCACAAACCATTATTTATAACTTAAAATGGTATTAAGATGAGATTATGGTTGGTAACAAGACAGATGAGTGAGCAAAGTAACACAAATCGGAAAGAAAAGTGCAGAAAAGTAGAAACGTAGAAACTTTATGTTTACCTACGAGTATTTGCAGTGTTTTTTATGGAGGAAAGGAAAACTTGTGTTGATTTATGTGCTTAAACTTGTGTACTTTCATTTGTTTAGATTTCCAACTGTTCTTTTAGATATTATTTAATTATTTTGTTTTCAATTTCTTTTATTTCATTGAACATCTGCTAACGTTCACTATTACATAAATTTTAAGTATAAAAAAATACAAAATAAAGTTATCGATCAATATTACAAGTAGTAATTTTATTTTTAGCATTTTTAACGTTTTCTTTGTAGAATTTATTACATTCTTTTAATTTTCCACTTGTTTTATATTCTGTATTGCTTACCTTGAATGTATTTTTATAACAAAGTTAAATATTTATAGAAAATGCACTCAAGTAAAAATAGTTCTTGTTTTCCACCGCAAAATCGGTTTGATTTTTTCATTCTGAATTGAAATGAAAATAACAACTTTGTGGGCTGCCGATAATAATATGACAATCATTTGAAGTCTAAACTGAAACCCGTGACTGATATATGTATTAACATTAGTAATTCTCGTTACAGTCATTTCGCTTTTTATATCCAGCGCAATTATTATTCATTATTTTCATTACTATTCATAACCATTCATTACTGAAATCTATGCGGTAAACTAGGAAAATGACTTATTTTCGTTTTTAATACTTATTAAATATTTCCCAATCACAATAGGTAATAAATCTATACTGGTATAATCATAATCGTAATTTCTGTTTACTTTTGGCGACGATAAAATTAATTAAATTCTTATGTAATGTTGACTGTCGCATGTTTTGCAGTTTAGTTTTGAGCGTGTAGTTGTAGACTTTTGTGAATTAGCGAGTTCCTGTAATCATCGACTTCCTTTCCTTTGCGTTTTTATTTTTAGTTTGTGTGCGTGTGGCTGGTCGGAACGAAACAAAACATTCGACACCGGACAAGGAACAAGCAGTCCAAACACATCTGTTGCTTTTGCTTACGCTTGAACGTGCCTAGTTATTATTATGCCTCTACTTTAGCTGCCTACCAAGGTGGAGCTCAAGGTTGTCGATATGAAATAAATGCACTCAAGCATGTTCAAGCAACTACTACCGTCAATACAATCCAATACAGGGTGTTATATAAAGTTAAAAGTCAATGAGTAGGAAAAAAAAGTCAGTTGATTAAATGTTTGTTCTCATGCTTCTTATTTTCGTGTGGTTGATTAACACGACATGAGCCGAAACGTTTTTCACCCCAAGTTTTCGAATTGAGCCAACTGTTGCTCATAAAATTAACCAGACACGCAATGTGGATTGTTCAAGTGAAGTTATCAATGAGTCAAGGCCCACACCCTGAATAAACTGAATAAATTCACGGCTTTCCAAATTAGATTCAGCTGTGTGCCATTTAATTACTTAAATTGGAATTTATAGCCGAAAAAACAGTAACCTCTAATAAATCATTCTGTAATTTTTAAATACTTTCTAATAATTGATTTTTTTCTTGTTTCAGGTATGTACCTTTATTATTCTTCTTCAAAAAGACAAAAAACCATGAGTAAAAACATGTAGGTAAGTCACATTCTTTATCTACTTTGAAATTTCCTTTTAAAAGTTTCTAGAATGGAATTAAATAGGGGTGAAAGTAAAAAATGTTTGATTTAGTGGTAGATAAAAGACAGAAGGGTCTTTAATACGTCCCTAATTCATTGTAATACTTTCTAAACGTTTTAAGTTAATACCTGACATTGTGACAATGGAAGACATTGTCCTATCATGTTTTCTCTTTGACCGAAGATCTTCACTAAACATGAATACAAATAAAATAACTTTAGGGTGACTAAAGTTATGTAAGCTATTAAATTTTACATCATACCTAAACAAATTATGGGATTTTAACGACAAAGAGACAACATGAATAGAATTTTTTGTTTTACAAGTTTTTTTTAGTGTTTCTAGTAGTTGATCATGAGAATATATTTCGGTGCCATATGAATATGTGAAATTTAACAGAGGGTTGAACATTTTTATAGTCTAATGCACGTTAATTTGTGCAGATGGTGAAATATTTCGGGTTGAATGAAATTTCAATCAAATTTTAACCGAAATTTTAGTTTTTGAAATAAAATTTTAAAATTTTCTGATAATTTTGGCATTTTACTAAATTTTAAACGTTTTTAGTGGCAAATTAAACAATTATCGTTCGTGTAACATAAATATCAAAGCAATTTTCGATATTTGCACCTAAGTACCGCAATTTATCATTCAGCACATACACGTAATTTCTTTCGCCATTTGCTTGCAATGGCCTTATTTGATTTTATATTTAATTCCATTCAATTTATTCAATTTTCATCAATTTTGAGCAATTGCAGCCCGCCAGTCGTCGTCGTTCGGCGATATTAATCTCGTTGCATGCACTCGCCTAATTGTATGTGCAAGGCAGTCGGTAATGGTAATAGCGGTGCGAGAGGGCCGCGTACTCTCGCAATGTAAATATCTAAATATCACGTCGATGGCAATAAACCGAGCAATCGTCGTCGTTAATATGCACTCGGAGTCAATCTCTCAATTACTGTAATGTGTCTAACAGTTACATCGTTACACTCACTATATTTATACTTATTCGCAGGCACGAGCAGCAGACATTTTATAAATCCAATCAATGTTACTGATTCCATTAAAATATGTGTTATTCTGATGTTATAAACGTGAAAATTTGTGTTTTTGTATGTTTGTGATGCTTTCACTCGAAAACCTGTGAATACATTTTTATAAAATTTTGTTTGGAGATATTTATGATCAAGGAAATGAAAATAGGGTACTTTTTGTTTTCAAAATATATATGAAGGGTGGAAAATAGAGGTTGAAAGTGGGTAGTTATAAAATTCGAATCGAGATGGCGCTAAAACCTTTTTTTTGCAAAAAAATTACTGTATTACAAGTATTATATTCACGCTTAATTAGCAATGGACACCTAGCAACTGTAGATGATCTTGAATGAACAACAATGTTGTAATTGTGCGTGTACTTTCCGAACGGACAATTGAGTCTAATTGTAAGTGCTAACTGTAGTTTAGAACTCAGCCCGCACAAAAGTGCTTCGTGTAATTATTTCAGCTGTAATTTAAATTACATGAGCAGTTTTAAGCGCGCACAAACAGATAAAGTGCACAAGTAAAGAATAAACAATAAAAATTAAAATGATGAATTAAAAAATTAAGTGAAGACAATACGAAACGCGCCGCTTGTTAACAGCAAGGCGTACTTTAGAAGTAATTGCATTTATAATTGGACGGTTAATTATGCTAAGGACACAATGCATTTATTTTATGCAAATTTTCAGTTAAACTAGGCAATGTGAAACTCAAATTATGCATAATATATTACTACTGGTTGAATATTTACTGTTTATTGACAGTATTCACCCCTTGAGGCGCTGGATTTAATGATTTGCATGCGCGTCAATTGTCGACGACGACGTGTTTCAAAAGGCGTTCGACCGGCAGTTCTAACGTTACCAAGTCATAACGTTGTATGCCTGACTCTTCGTGCGCGTTTAACTGCATTCATCGTCTGCATCGTAATCAATGCGCTTGCTATCGTCACATGTAGCACGTTCTCGTTGGTGTGCTCATGTGTGTGCACATTGCACATGCATCGTTCCGCTGCTATAACAAAACAACAGTAACGCTGTTTTGATTGGCGCTGCGCGTTGGCGAGCAGATGTGCTTGAACATCATGCGCATGAATGTAATACTCACGTTTATTCAAGATAACCACTAGCAAATTAAAAATCATATTTAGATAGTTTTTATATTAATTAAATGGTTTTGTATACCGTTTTGAATGAGAAATATATTTTAAAAATTTTCATATGTTTGTTCCTCGTTTACGGCTAAACCACTCAATGGATTTTGATAAATTTTGGTGTAGATATACTATAGACATTGGAAAATAACATAGGCCACTTTTTATTCCGAAAATATTACTTTAAAAGAGTGAAATTAGGGTTTAAAGTTCAAATTGCACTACCGATTTAATATAAACACTGCAAGTCTGAAAAACATGTGTCATCCAACACTGCGCATGTTCTGTGAAAGTTTAAACGATAAAACTACGAAAAAGTTTTCACAGATGTGCGCCCATTTTGATTTTAGATGGTTGCAGCATATTTTGATTGCATTTACTCGTTTAATTTCGAATATAAATCGTGTTTTGTTTTCTCGTTCGCTTTTTACTAACGTTTTGCTCTCCGCACGGCGTAAACTGCACATGTGAGCATTTAAAAAATGTTTGCTCTGTAATGTTCTGTAATCAAACACATTCAGGGGCCGCTGGTTTCATCGTAATTTGATCGCCATCAAAGCCCGCGGGCGCTGTTGAAACCTTAAACTTGTTTAATTGGGAAATATTTGCGCATTTATCGAAATTCACGCACATCTGGTAGAAATAAAACATCAAACACATTATATTATTCAATATTCAGTTTGAAAAATGAATGGAATGTTGTATGGTTGGATTGCCCCGGCGTATGAATAATAAACCGAATGTTAAAATGTGTAAAATAGAATATAAGCTGGAAGTTGAAGCGGCCAAACACGAAAATCAACGTGCTGCGCATATATTAAAGTTATTCAAGTGCATTTGTGTATGTTAATAATTAATATTCATTGCGAACACCTTATTCTTGACGGATTTAGCATTGACACTACAATACTGAGTATAAATATGTTTCAAAGTGGAATAATCTTAGATGTAAATAATGTAAAGTTGTTTTTATCTATAATTTCATCTTGTTTTTCACTTATTTTCTTGTAAAAATTAATTATGAATCGATAAACGAAGGAAATATTTGTGTTATTCGTTGTTAATATTCATAGAGATTGATATAGCTGATTATTTTTGAATTTATGCCGATAGATGGCGTATAAAGTATCAAAATGATTTATTCTGATATTATGACTATCAACATTAAACGTTCGAATGATTTAACATTTACATCAAATATATTAATGTTTTCAACACACATCAAAGCTGCTTTGCTTCTTTATCTGCGCGTAGAACGTTAAAGAATCGCAGGAGCGTCGAGAACGACAAATTTACCGTTTGTTTAATATCGACACACGTCGCACCACGCCATATCGCGAAACGGTTTGCGGTGTTCGATGCGACGATTTTCATATCTAACTGTTGTTTTCTACCTAAATTAATTTATACTGGTATTTCCGTGATTGGCACTGAGGCATCGAGTCACTGGCACAAACCAGTAACACAATCTAGCAAACCATCAAACGATAATTTATTTATATTAGGTCGTAGAATAAAAAAATATAAGAGATAGAAATTATTTTATACGTAGCAGAGTTTTTATATAACTTTTTATATCTAAATATTATTAAGAAATAGAACCTTGAAACGTTATGCATGTGACTGGTAATAACTCGTCACTCATAACAAACAATAAATTATTTATCAATATGTACTTTGAATAAGTATAATGCTTAAGTAGGTTTATAAAGCACTAAAATTATGCGCATGTTTCATTGTGTTACGTGTTGTTCGCGGTGTGTTCATTGTCATTTTTGCAACACATTGGTTTTTTTAAACTTGTCTTATTATTATTATCGTTTATTGCGTTTGTTCTTGATGCTTGACATTGCAATCACCAATTTATATCGTGTTTCGTAATCGAAAAACCCAACAATTTGAATTTTTGTTCGAAATTCAAGTTGTAGGTGTGTCAAACATGCAAATATTTTAAATTACAAAAAATAGTAAATAGAAATTATTTTTGTAACTTTTTAGAGCATAACATCGATTTGTGGTCGATTTTTAATAAACTGCGCCTTCTCCTATTATCATCTACGTTTTATGAACTTATTAACACTAGTTTTGGTGCTGTGGCTTTTTTCGTGTCTTGTAGGTGTGTCAGCGCCGAAACACGACTTACATTTTTAATATTAATAACTGTTAAAGCAGCAAACGTGCGCACGTCGCTGATTTCCTGCAAAACTTGACTTGTTTCAGCCATTAATTCTCTTTCGTCCACTCTGAGACATGTTTATAATCTCTTTAACTGCCCACTTCTTTGTTCGTCACCGTCTTTGTAAGTCCGACAAGTCTTTCTACACAACATTTTAAATATCAACATAATAAACTCAACATTGAACCCAATAACCCGCAATAGTAATATTCTCAATACAATCACGATTCACGAATATGATCACTGCTTGATATTATGTGTGTATCTGTGTTTGGGTCTGTAATTTTCTTGTGTGCACATTTGTGGTGAATCTGAATCTGGGTCACAGTTATTGTCGCATGCAGGACGGCAGCGTTACGTGGCCAGTAATCCGAGGTGTATTTGTGTGTAAGTCTACGAGTAGAATGCATATCGATGAATATCAAACGGCGCCAACGCGAAAACTGCGAAATGTGCTACGTGCAATAACATTTGTCTGCCGACGTCTCGAATCCCTCGTAAATGCTGTAATACGAGCCTATAATTTACATTTTCATCGTTTTCAAGACGCGTCTGGTGTCTGCTCGTTGAACTTTAAACTTTAAAC